GCTGAATGGCGGGGAGAGGAAGGGGGTCTCGCACGCACCGCCGAGACCCCTTTCGGCTGCGTCTTCTCGCTGGTGGGAAATCCGAGTCCCTCTCTTTGCAGCCAATGCCACCGAAGCGCCAAAGAAAAGGCGACTTTTTACGGCTTTGCTGGCCAGATATGAAAAAAGCAGACGCTGAAAGCCGTGAGATGAGGGGGGCAGTGAGGGGCTGTGAAAAAGGCCCCTCTTTGGAACCATCGTTCCTCCTCCTTTCAGCCCCACAGCTATTTTCAACCCTGGAGTCTGGAGCAACATGAAATGAAACCCGCAAAGAATGGACCATTGAGCGAAGTGGCCCATCACCAGGGGATTCGTCGTGTTTGTTGAAGACACTAAACGGCCATTGACGGTGTTCAGACAACACACAAAAGCCCCAAAACATGCAGCCACGTTTGGGGTGGGGGGTGGGAGGCGTCAATGTCTCTGGGCGCCCGGGAACCCAGCCAGGTTAGGGAGGGATTCAAAGCCAGGACCCTCAAGGGAGCAGTGGGATTCACACCCTGTCCTGAGTCGTGACTGTTTAAAACCATGGTTAGGGGAACCAGTCAGAAAGAGATTGTATAGTCTTGGCTTGTCTTTGTGGCCTGCCAAGCTTCCTGTTAACCTGTAGAGGTGTAGGTAGGTGGGTAGGGGGAAGGGAAGGGGGGGAAGGGAAGGGGAAGGGAGGGACAGAGGAGGGAGGGAGGAAGGACAAGGGCGGAGAGGGAGGAAAGAAGGAACAAAGGGGAAGGGGGAAGGAAGGATAAGGGCAGAGCGGAAGGAAGGAAGGAAGGAAGGAAGGAAGGAAGGAAGGAAGGAGAAGAGAAGGGGGAGGGAGGGAGGAAGAAAGGCAGGAGAGGAGGAAGGAAGGAGAAGGGAAGGGGAGAAAGAGGAAGGGAGGAGAGGGAGGAGGAAGGAAGATAGGTAGGAAGAAAGGAAGGAAGAAGAGGGGAGGGAGGGAGGGAGAAAGGGAGGAGAGGAAGAAGGAAGGAAGGAAGGAAGGAAGGAAGGAAGGAAGGAAGGAAGGA